TGCACCACTGGGCGCGATTATTCTTCATACTGTCGCTTGCTCGTGTCCCCTTTATTAACACCCGTGTTGTTACTGGCCTGAGGCTTTCACTGGAAAGCTGGGCTTCATGGGCTGGCTTCGCGGCGAGGCTGCCTTGAGCCCGCACATGCTGTCCACTACCATTAATAGGATGATGATGATGATGATGATGAACTGCTAAATACTACCACCGAGATGATTATCACTCATGTGGTTACGACTTGATGCGAATTGCCCAGATCTAAAGCTGTAGTTTGCAGGGACTGACACTAGGGCTGCGGAGTTTTTCGTTCGGGGTGCACGATGGTACTTGCCGGTGTTCATCGATCCCCAATTCCTGAGCTTCATGGGCTAAAAGATGTAGCAAGCAAGCCGAGCTCTGGAGAGCAGTGGCTGCGAGTGCAGGCGAAATGCAGCGCCGATCATGTCCCAGAAGCCTTGTTGGCCATCGACGCAAACACGCCTGAGAGTGGCAGGGAATATACCGTAGGAAGCAACGGCATTGGCAAGTGCAATCACAACAACAAGCAGGATCGATCGACTGCGACACAACCATGGCAAGGACTTATTTACCATCGCCCAGACATCTAAACCAAACCAACACTCTTGGAGCCTGGAAGAATCGCAAAGTAGACATGCACAACGCAAGAACTTAAACCCCCTCCACGCGGGGCAGATATCATCGCTATCAACATGGTCGTGATTGTCATGAGTCCTTACGATTGCTGCTTCTGTCATGAGTCAAGAGCTGTGATGCTCATTGCTGTCACCGTTGTCACCCTTACAATCGGACAGCACTTGCTTGCTACTAATTAATACTAATTACACCGAAGACCTAAACCCTCAAACCCCTCTAGGCCCCTAGAACCCTGAACCCCTAACCCGTAAACCCGAAAGCTAGAACTCCTAAACCTTGAATGCCCAAACCCCAAAATACCCCAAGACTTTACCCCTACTCTGCGCACTCTGCTCCATGACGGCCGGCTGCAGAAGCCACAGCCCAGAGGCAGCCATTGAGAACACGAAGGCCTAAATTCGGGCAAGGGGCGGTCCGGGTTTGGGCTTTAAGGGTGTGACTGCCTGTCGCAGTGAAAGTTCCAAACGCGCCAGGGTTTAAGTCTTGAGTTAGAGGGCTTCAGGTACACATTTTCTTGTATGGGAATGCTTCGATGACGACGATTCGACGATGATGATGAAGATGCTAAGTAGTGGGAGTGATGATGATTATGATGACGGCGACGATGACGATGGCGATGAGGATGAGGACTGAGGATGAGGACTGACGATGAAGATGAATAGAAGGACAAAGAGTAAGAAGACGACAACGACTACCACGCCTCTGTTGCAGCACGGACGTCACGGTATTGGTACTGACCTCGTGCTGTCGCTACCCCCGTCATGCCTCTTACTAACGTTGCTTGCTCCTTTTCGCGGAGCGCGACTGTTGCATCCATGTTCCACAATGATACAACCCACAACTTCTGCAGTAACACCCCTCCTCTAAGCACGCGACACCTTGCGACTTTCCGGGCTCAGTCCTGCACCTCACTAACTGGAAAGGTCCCTGCCCAAAACCCCACGGCTGAGACCCCGAATAGCCCGCAAACTCCCTCGAATGCCCCAGACAAGTATTACATTACGAGTCCCTAAACCCTAAACCCCTAAAATCCAAAACCCTGTTAACCCTAAAATCCTAAACCCTCAACCCTATTACTCTAAACCCTATTACCCTAAGAAGCCCTAGGCCCTACCCTCGCAGAGCTCAGAGTGCCGGCCGTCAGCGACAGCTTCTTCAGGCGGCCTCGCACCTCGGCTAAAGCAGGGGCCCAGCAAAACGGAAACACCCCAAATCCTGGGGTTTAGGGGTTTAGGGCTTAGGGGTTTAGGGTTTAGCGGTTTAGGGCTTAGGGGTTTACGGTTTAGGGGTTTAGAGAAAGAAGAATTGGAAAAGGTCACAGGCTTTCAGGCCACGCATGCTACGTGGCAAAAACCAGCTCAAGTTTTCCTTACCAGTATTCGAGGGTTGACGTCGCGGGGCTTCACGCAGGATTCCAGCGGGTGTGAAACTACACTGTCAGGCTTCCTGGATATTGAGTGTTGGGAGACGTGTAGGCTTTGGGGTTAAAAATCCCATGCCCCTGTAGCTCGACGAAGTCTTCTGCACCACGCCCATGTGCCAAGCATGCCTTCCAAAAGCACAACATCGAAACGGAAAAACCTCATCCCTGGCAACTTCCTTTTGTTCGCCTGCTTTCAGGCTGGGTCTTCGCATTAGAGAGGAACTCCGGAAAGACACACAAGTGCAGCAGCTCAGGAACGTCGGGTCTAGAGGGTTGCAAAGCTACTTCTCGGGAGCTTTGTAACAGACTTGCGTCCATTCCGGGTCTCCGTGCAATCCTTGGACGACTGCTGCTTTCCTATCTAGTTGCCTTTGAGCAGAGGCCCAGGTGGCAGTGCAGCAGAAAAACACAGAAATCGGAGTGCAAGCATCATGTCGGATCGCACTCCTCTGCAATACAGCCAAGGGCGACACAGAGCTGGTTTTCACATCGCATCTTCAGCGGCTGCTTCGGCAGCCGCATCCACTTCTCCAGTTTATCATCACCTGAGAACAAGAAGATCAACACCCTGTTGACGTATGTTACGCATGGTGCACCTTCCTCGCCTGGCCCCATCAACTTTATGGCCGCATGCTTCGTGTCTTTGGCAGCCTTCACATCTCCATGCCAAAGGGAACACTTGTCCTGGAGTATAGGGTCCGAAGTCCTGTCTGTGCTTCGTGCCACGGTCTCCAGGATGGACCGCAACTTCTCCTCGTCTTGGAAGAAGAGATGCCCACGACAATGCACAAGAGGCATCCACCCATCGACACTGTGTCTGACTTCCTCCTCTGAGCGTGGCTGGAAAGTAGTTGCGGATGGCTCGTGCCGCGCTTCCGGAGCACGCTGCTGGATGTCTGGTCGATCTGGCTTTGCTTGGTCGCTGCTCAGATATTCCTTCACTGGAGTCACTGGAGGTTCGCTGCTGAGACGTGCCTTCGCCAGAGGCTCGCTGCTTGAGCAGGGCGAGCGCGCCTGTGCAAGGCGAAGGGCGCCTGTGAAGCATGGTGGCCACAATTGTTCCAGCATCCGCACTGCCGCACGCCGGTGTTGCAAGTCTTTGCTGGCACACTGCGGGCTAGCGATGAGAGCGAGAGCATGCAAACTCACGACTAGAATGGTGCACAAATCCCATCATTCATACTCTCTGCAGCTAAATGACTAGCACGTTCATCAGTGCGGATCAGGCAGTAACGTGGGACTGACCTGCTGGGAGCCTCTAGCTGGAAGTTCAAACGGCTGCGTGGAGCAGCTCCCGCCGCCAGAAACCAAAGCCCAAGAACCTTTCCCCATGCGTGCTCAAGGTGCAACCGCGAATCAGGAATTTCGTCTGAGATGCATCAAATCAGGCAGACAATATACTTCCGAACTCTGATCACAACCGCGGACAGATACAGAAGCCGTTACCGCGACTATCGAAAACGAGCCATCCGCTCAGCTTCAGACAGTTTGCATTCGATGCAACCCGTGCGCACTTCGCGAACAAAGGGTGAAACTCTCCAAAGACCCTCAAAGATCGACGATCGACCCGAACTCTAAGGCGTAGGCAACTCCGACGGCACCTTATGTTTTGTGAAGACCCAAACTCGTACATACCCCCATGTAGGTCAGATTCAAGGCCCCCCAAACCGGAAAACTCATACAGCAGAAAACCCCCAGACGACAACAACAACACTCACTCCAGAACCCGAACGCTTCCTTGATCCCCGCCCAGGCACCAGTGTGGCCAGCTCAAAGAACACCGTGTCCATGCGGCCCGCCGAGGACCTCCAATGCATGCCGCGGCTTTGGGATTCTCAAGTGCCGCTAGGAGCTTTGAGGGTAGGGGGGTCTGTAAGGCCGTGGGAGACAGAGCTTGAGGTATTGGGACTTGAAGGCTTTAGGGTCTTAGGACGTTTTGATGTCTTTTTGCGGTGTGGGGTACACAGCTCCGTGGGGGCTGTACGACCCAGTATGTCGACCTTCTCTCCAGATCGAACACTAATCAGTAAAGAGCCGACCCAAGTGCGAAATCCTCAACCTTGAAGCCCCGAAAACTCGGAAAACTCGGAACCGCGAGACTCCTCCCCAAGCCGGAGCTCAAAGCACAGCTGCAGCACTGCACCACTTTCTCACGCCAGCTTGTGAACACAGATACCGGCGCTTTAGTGCGAGTTCCAAGTTCTTCTGCGAGCCCACGTTAGCAGCAGACCACGGATTGAAAAACTTCGGGGTTTGAGTCGGAGGTAAGGCAACTCCAAGCGGCATTCGCTGGACACGACTGAATGTCGGCAACCTCCTCAAATCAACTCGCACCAGCTTCAACGCAGCCTGCTTACATCCGCTTACATCAGCTTGCTCATGTCGCCTCAGGGCCCATCCCGTCAAGTCTCCCCTTCAACTCCATCACCCGCAAACATGCAGCAGGGGTTTAGTAGTACTGCAGTAGCAGTCATCGTGATGATATCCAGCTGGAGATACACCTCGACCCTGAACTGAAAGAGCTCGGAGCTCGCAGAAGCAGAGCGCGCGCGACGCTGCTCATCGCGGCGAAAACGCAGCGCAAAGGCCATGAAGCCGGCTGCCGGCCCTTCTTCCGGTTTAGGGATTGGGTTTAGTGCTGTTGGCGTTTAGGGATGTGTTGGGCTTTGTTATCGCTTTCCCAGCCGGGCTGTCCCAGCTGAGGGTGCCGCTGGCCTATGTTCTCAAGATGCAGCTGGACGATTCGGAATTGGTGCAAGCCGTATTTATGCCGCACGGGACTTGCCTTTGGTTGGGAAGAACGATAACCGATGAATCACAGGATGCCTGGAGAACGATCGCGGGCCTGACTTGTCTGGGATTTCTATGGCAGGCTGGCAGTGCTTCCTGTTCAGCGGCCCGGCTCACTGCACATGGCACCTCTCAACCCTGGACGAGCGCTTCCACCACCTTCTCCACACTGCCCCCGAAGGCAGCAAGGAGGTTTCGAAGCTCCTCATGTGCAGAGCCTACAAATCCGTCGGAACTGTTAGCAAGGCAGGTAACCCTCCGGGCACCACAGGGGGGTGCTCAAATCTTTGGTTGGCGGGTTAGATGAGGATGGGGCTGCAGTGAAAGCATCTAGTGAGTCCTGGTATCAGATGTTGAGGCTCTTGGCCTGGGTGGTCACATCAATCACTGAGAAGGCTTCATGAGGATGATTATCATACTACTAGCGGCTATTGGAGACACAATAGGAAGGCCGCTCGTCGAGCAGGCTGAGCTTTGGCTTAGTTTTTGAAACGGTGTGAGATGTTTTGTTCTACGGAAACTGCTGGCTCTTGTCAGGTTCTTCAGAAGCAGAGATAGATTTAGAACAAGGGTTTAGGTGTGACAGGGTGTGGGAGTCTGAGGCTCCTCCACATCGACAGTGAAGCCCTGATCTTGGATCTGCGCGATCTGCTCCGCATAGGTCGGGAGAGCCTCTCAAGGCCACGGGTGAAAGGCTGCTGTTGACTTGGAGTGCAAGGTCGGTTCATGTGATGTTCGCGTTCCCTCGCCTTTGTTCAGTGCTTTGGACTAGTCAGACCTCAAGCACAGCCCCGTCGGAAGCTACAGGAAAACCATGTCTGTTCGCTCGCATCTTAGACCCCAAAGCGAGCATGCTTTGCATGAGCGGCATCATTTCCGAACTCGTCATGACATGAAACCGATGGAAACACCATCTCTATTCAAGACGGAGGCCCTGAAAAGCCCAGCAGAAATCCGAAACCACGTGGTAAGATCGGCTTGCCCATCAAGGCACTCAACCCAAAGCTGCAACACTTGCAGGTGACGCACTCCCGACTTGCTCACCTCAACCCCTGGCGCTTCTTCCCAGCTGGATGCTGCGTTGCTTGAGCTCGGGGCGCTCAGCGACCTCGGTGACTTCCCGCAGGCGGTCTTCAATGTCAGAATGCAAACCTCTCTGAGAGGTACAAGTACCACGACAGACCTCTGTCAAACGTGACCTCCGAAGTTCCGCCGAGGCACTCTGCATGCTGCATGAAGGCGACTATGTCGCCCACCTGCCGGGGAACCAGAGTTCCATTCCACAAGCAGAAGCCCTTGGGCAAGGCCTGGTCCCCCGGCAGCCGGTACTTCGCAATGAACTCCTTGGCCACCTACAGGGAAGGAAGGAACCTCGTGAATCCAAAAACTCGCAGAGGTTCCTATGCAGTACGCAGTTATCTGTAGCCTGCAAGGCAGGGGGAGTGAAGGCAGTGAAGGGGTTTGAGATGACTCCGAGCTCTCCGCCGCAGGCTCTACAGAGGGCGCGACATTCAGGAGCTTGGGCTCTCGTGCCCTTCAGCTTCAACCAAATCCTCTTAGCCACGTCTATCTAGCCCAGGCCTGTTCTGCCGGTGCCTCCAACTCTCTCAAAACGCCAGGCCCAAACCTCCAAATGAACCCTCTGAAGATCCCTTATAAGTAAAGTTGAACTTAGCCATCCAGTCTACTGCCTGCTCCCGGTCGTCAGATGACGTCCACATAATCTGGAGGCTGCGGCCATCATCGACCTCTCATTGGGCGGCTCGGGGTTCGAGGGTTCAGAGTTCGGGCTCGAGCCTTCTATGCGGCTATGAACCGAAGCACCGGCCTGGACGGGGAAGGAGTATCGAAGGCCCGGCTCCTGTGAGATGCTTTGGACGACAACGACGCACTAAGCGTTGGAGTTTGAGCTGCATGGGGTTTCTGTTTAGGGTTAAAGGGGGCCCCCAACTTTGTGTTCTGAGAGGGGAGTGTTGTGCGCAACCCCCGTTTGCTACAACCGCTAATCTGCATAGCCGCACATGCACTACAAGGGCGACAGCGCACGTTTTGCGGAGTTTTCTCCAGCCCGAGGTGCAAGCCCTACACCCCACCTTGGCCTGGCCTGAGTTCTTCTCATCTCATACACGCATTTCTAACTTACCCGCTCCAGGTTTCCTTCACCTCGCCGGACGGCTGCTCTGCTGGCTTGGCCGCCGGAGGCTTGGACATCTCCGCTGCCGGCACCTGCACTGCAAAAGATCCGGAGCGTAGGATGAAAAGGAACACCCGCAGGGTCACACCAGGTCTCAGCATCATATCTTTTGTAAGGATCGTCGTATGACGCACCCGGTCGTACTGGCTGTTCTGCTAGTGACATACTTCTAAACCTTCGGCGCACGGCCCTAGAAAACTCGCAGAGGCACATCTTGTGGTATACGACGGGTGCCGCATGCAATTTAATCTCGACCGTCTGCAATGCGCAACATCCGAACGCCGACGGCAACCCTGTAACATCAACCCTAGACCTAGTCATGAGTCTCTTCGTCCTGTCCAATTAGTCTGCGGCTGGGCTTTTATGCTTTTAGGGCTAGAGTTTTCCGGTCGGAAGGTTGAAAGGGTTCGGGTATGAACATTGTAAACACTTGGAAGAAGGAAGCACCAATTGCTATCACACCACATGAAATTCGGAATGCTTCCGGGACCTCCGAGCTGGGCGGGTCGACCTCCTTGACCTGGTCCATGGGAGGGGCAGATGGCTCGGCCTCGCATTCACAGAGTAACGCCTTACTTCCGGGGCTTTCGTGAAAAGGATGCTGAGGGCTGTAAGTGCTCAAGGCTTTTGTCGGAAATGGGGATGGTAGGAAACCTTGGTCTGCCTTCTTCCGACGACGGTACACGGCACCCCTCATGAAGTGGATGGTGGGCAAGGCTGTGACAAGCAGCCCCTCGCAGACTTTAGGGTTTCCCTCCGGCTTGTCAGACGCTGAAAAACTCGGTTTGAAGAGCAGTTGCTCGAAGATGCGCAAGAAACATCGCACAAGTCCCCAAGCGATCCTCCGTCGGTGCAGGCGCTGAAGCCGCGGGCTGCTCGTAGCCGTTAGACTCGCTGGACTCCGTCTGCATCGGCGAAGCTCCTGGGCGCCAGAAATCTCAGAGCGGGGAGGCTCGGAGGCTCAAGCTGCCGCTTCCGGAACTGAGTGGCGAACCGCTTGGGCTGGGACAGCAGCCTTTGCCGCCTTTGCCTTTGCCCTTGCCGAGGCCGCCGAGGAGCCCAGCGAGGCCAGCCCAGGGGTTCTCAGCACTCGGCGGGTCCGAGCAGCCCGCACCCTTGCACTGGCCCTTGCCACCAAACAAGTTTGCGAGACCCGCCAAGGGATTCTCGCCAGGGTTCTGGCTGCCTTGGCCGAACAAGCCGGCAAGGCCAGCCAAGGGATTCGACTGCTCCTGGCTGCCACCCTTGCCAGCCAGCTCGCCCAGCAGCCCAGCAATGCCGGCCAGCGGATTCTCATTGCCAGCAGCACCGGTATGCATGCCCGCACGATCCCCTGCTTTGCCCACGCGATCGGCCGCTGCAGCAAAACGCTGCTGGAGGAGGCCTGCCAGCGGGTGCTGGCTGATGTCCTGAAAGAAGCCGGGGATGCCACCCATCTTGCCACTCTTGCCGCCCTTGCCCTTGCATCCTTTGCCCTTCCCTTTGCCTTTCATGCCGGAGAGGAGGCTTCCCAGGCCGACGGGCATCATACCCGACAAGATGCACTCGAAGTCGTCCCCTGCATCCGCTCCAAGGATCTCGCGCTTGCGGGCATAGCAGGTACCACAAAGGTCGAAGTCCGGGCGGCTCGTGCACTTGAACCGTGGACCCTTCAGCGGCGAGGCCTCGCAGCCGTCACAGACCGCGTGGTGCGTGAGAGCGCCTGCAGAAGCTGTCACATTCTAGCAGATTAGATGTGAGAGAGATATGTATAAAATAAATAAATAAATAAACAAATAAATAAATAAATATATACATATATATATATATATATATAACTGTATCAAGGCATTTCATGATGTGGCCGATGCGCAGAATGATCCCATGATGCCGTGCCTTCGATCATGCAGGAGGGGGCCATATTCTCCAAGAGCTGGATCAGCTCACGGTGTCGCGATGCGAAGAATGAAGTTAACAGCCTGAGCCGAGCGGAAGGTGGTTCGGGTGGAAGGCGTTCGCGTTTCTCATGTCGGACTCCACCTTAAAGCAGAGAGGAGCCGGGGTGTCGGGAAATTGCGCAGGCTGCATCTGTTTGCTCCTGCTGCGTCGATGCGAGTCCACTCCATGTCTCGCAGACACCCTTGATTTTGTCAACCCACGGTTTTGTCCGATCAGTTTGCAGATCCGCGAGATCCAACCAGCTCGAAAAGGCGATGCGAATTTGAAACTCAACCCCCACCGGCAACTCAAGCAAAAGGCCCCCGATAGACTAGACCCAAGAACATTCCGGAACCCTGACTGACCCTGACCTCAAAACGTGCACCTACAAGTAAGACCCAGATCTGTTGGTCGTGGCAGCTTGTGCTGGTCTTCGAAGGGCAGCAAGTCGAGGCCAGTCACCAACGAGAGCCTCGGCTTCGAGGTGCAACATGCTTCAGTTGGATACATACATACATACATACATACATGCCGGAGAGAGATGCCTGAGGTGGTTGAGGGTCGGAGCTTTCGTTAGTTAGATCTATCTATCGATCGTTTGATAGACAGATCGATTGATAGATGCATCGACCGATAGGTCGATCGACAGACAGACAGACCGACAGACAGACAGACAGATACACGTGTGCACATGGTATTTCAGTGTTGCGATGTGCTTGTGATGCTGCTGTGCCGTGGTTGAGGCGTGGTTGCGGCGTGGTTGTGCGGTTGGTGGTGATAGCAGTGGGGATGGTGGTAATGGTGGCAATACTGTGGCAATGGTGGCAATGGTGGTACAAGTAATGGTGGCAATGGTGGTATTGGTGGCATCGGTGGGAATGGTGGTGATGGTGACGGTGGTCATGGCAGTGATGGTGGTGATGGCGGTGATGGTGGTGATGTCGCGGCGGTAGATGCCGATGTTTATGCAGTGCATCCTCCCGGCAATGACTATATCAGGTTGAGGTGCACGAGCTGCCCGGCAGTCTCTGGCGTCACGTCTGCGAGGAGTGCGTCGAGGGCCGGCACCACGTGCTCCAGACCGGCGGAGGGAAGGAGCTCGCCTTCGTCTTTGGAGGCTCTGAGGCTTCGAGTCAGCTAAAAGCATCCGTGAGACAAAGCTGGGAGTTTTACACTCGCAACCTGAAACCAACGATGTGCCACAAAGGGACGAAGGTCGCGCAGTGCGTCCTTCAGAGGCGGCGCGTGGCTGAGTGCATCACCTGAGCCCAAAGAAAGACGAAGCGCAGAAACGACAAAGAAGCGCAACAGGAATCATCAGCAGCCTCTGACGGGAGACATCTTATTCACTCATGAAAAATAAGAAGCCCCAGCGAAAGCAAGCGGCATGCACTGAAGCATACCGTCTGAGGGCATCGCACACAGCCTGGCCGATCTCGACGGGCTCGTGCTCTCCCACAGCAGCCATAGCCTTGTGTGAGGCCCGAGGGCCCTCGAGGCTTCGGTGGGGTCGACGAGAAACACCAAGTACCGCTTCAAGGATCTTAGCATTCCAAGCATATCAACCGTTGCTGGCCAAGCCTGTGGCAGGTGGCACACTGCGACGCCTCAGCTCGCTTCCCAGAAGGAGCGCAAGGCTTGCCACTCTTGAGGGTTCACTGCAACAAGCGCGACCCGGACACTTGCCAGGACCATCGGAGACAGGATCTGACCGATGGTGCTGGGGCCGGAAGCCTCCGCTCTCAGGTGCCCGAGCCCTCGACTCGAAAGCTCCGCTGGTCTTTCGAGTCTGAAGCCCAGCCCCACAGTGCCACAGGCCTGGTCCTCCTCCTCCTCCTTGTCCTTGTCCGGATGGCCCATGTCCTGCGCGCATCGTGAGGTAGACTTGATGCAGCCGAAGCAGGCAGAGCCCTCCTCGTCCATGCAGGCGTCTGCGGTTGGCGCTGCAGAGGCGACTTCCGGTTTGGGATCCTCCGGCCGGCTGATGAAGGCCGAGTACAGTTGTCAGAGGCTCCCTCGTGACAATGTCGGGTTGAATCTGTAGCTTCGAACTTGTGTACATGAATGCACAGGGGCAGGTTAGAGACCACGACCTCAAAGCTCGAAATGAGACCCCGAGCCTTACTCTGGCCGCGGTCCTCGACTTCCATGCGAGCCTCCTGGCAGGAGAACATGGAATAAGAGAGACGGGTTGAAACGGCTTGTACAGTACTTGTACAAGGCTTGAAAGATGCTACCTTACCCGCTTGCAATGATATGCTCCAACCGTGAATGCGATCATCTTTGAATATTCGACATAATAATGTCTATTGTAGTATGGTACGTACAGTGCTGCAGCATGATGCATATCCTTGTGACGGTTTAGCGCAGCAGAATGCAGGATCGCTCCTCCTTCGTAGGGACAGGAGTTGCAGGCGCAGCGGAGATCATCTCCAGATCCGGCTGGGTGGTGGCCGCTGCCTTCTGAAACGGGGATAGTGGGGGTTGGGGTCTCAGAATCCGGGCACCGCAACTAGGTTTCTGGACCTTTGGGGTTCAGTTCATCCTGAGAGCAAGCGTAGGGCGTAGGGCAGAGCCAGGGAGCAGCTGGCCTGGATCGTTTTTGGTGCTCTAAGGTGGGTACCAGAAACTCAAAAAGTACTTCTTTCAGATGTCGGGCATGAATGGCTTCGTGGTTGCTTTCGTAGCAAACACAACCTGTCTGTGGATGGAGACCTCTGTTGCCTGTGGCTTCGTGCCCGGTGATTGATATCAGCAGCTGAGCGTGCTGCTTGCCTGCTTGCCTGCATGGACATTTCGGACGTGCTGGCCATGGACTTCCGACGTTGGTCGGTTCATGGAGACACCCCGATGCACCCATACCCTTTTTCTAGACATGGTCATATATGATGAGGGATGATGCCACCGTAGTTTTGAGACATTTGCATACAGGCAGAAGGTTCTGCCAACTCTACCGCAGAAACCCCCGGCGCAACGACAACTTGAACCCCAGCTCCCCAAAGCCCATCCAGAAGAGCCTTGGCGGCGCTCGCGATGGCGGGCTTGGGCGGCACAGCTGCGGTGCCAACCGCCTGCTCACGAAGGCTGCTTGGGTTGGTCGAATCGCGACAATGCGACGACGCAAGCTTCCAGCCGCGGCGAGAAACCCGAAAGCAACTTCAAACCACCCTGCACCCCTACCCCTGAGGAGATTGTGGCAATCCCGCCTGGAGCTCCAACTTTAGGATAACCTGGCGATGGTGTTGGAACTGCACTGCAGGGTGTCTGGGGCTTCAGCCCTGTCTCGGGCTGGGAGCATGCTGGGAGCAGGCTTAAGGCTGGATTCAGCCAGGAAAAAACAGACCCCTGCACCAATGAACATCACCTCGCTGCGTGTTGCTCTGTGCGGAGACGTTGACGGTCTGAGCTGGAAGGCATAGAACGAATCTTGCCTTCTAGAACTGCAAGCCCAAGTATGACAGCACCAGCAGCAACGACAGTCGTCAAACAACAACAATTTACCCCCTCACAGCAGAGGCTTG